AGCTTCACAACCCAAACGTGTTTGAGTCGTTGGAGATCTTGAAGTCACGACTCAAAGAGCCTTTATAAGCCATCAAGAGCCGAGTGCATAGCACGCTCTGCACTCTTGAAGCTACAGCAAGGTAAGCGTGACGTACGCGCTTATGCACAACACCTGCGCTACCTTGCAAGTAGCGTTACGGAAAACCCTGTTGATGAGCATACGCTCATCAACGTGTTCATCTACGGCCTTGTGGATGGCTGGTGAAGACCTACATGTTCCGAGAAGACTTCCATACGCTAGAAAAGCGATAGCGTATGCGAAACAAGAAGACTTTAGACTGAGACAGTCTCAGGCTAACTAGTCAAGCTATCGTCCAACGAGACGACAGGAAACAGGAGGTCCCGAACCAATGGACCTCTGTTACATCGAGAGCGAGAACTCTCGCTCTCCGAGACACAAGCGAACGGCAAGATGCCATCGCTGTCATAAGATTGGACACTACGCTCAAGAGTGTAGTGTCCCGAGCACCGCAACACGTCCAAAGACAGGACGTGATGGCCACCGTTGGGCAAGGAAAGGTCCAAGGTGTGGATCTGACCATGTCGCTAAGCCGCAACAGCAAGTCGGACCGTCAATAAACGGACAGGGTCAGTAGGGGCGGAGCACCCTGCTGATCCAGCAACATCGAGAGAATTTGCAGGACTCTTGACGAAGATTGCTCCCAACACACAGTCGCAGTGTGTTACTGCCCCTAGTGATGAGGTGACACTCATCACTTTGAAGATACTGGCTCGTGAAACGGAGGTGGTCCGTTTTGTGCAGATTCCATCGCTGAAGCGGTGGAGCAAGCAAAAGCAAAACGCTGACAAGAATGGAAGGGCAAAACACTCTTTCATTCAATAAGGGTGACTTAGTCCTACTGTCTACGGTTAATCTACCAAAGCATGTAGTGATTCAAATCGGTAGCAGTAAACTACTACCCAAGTATATTGGCCCATTTCGTGTATTGCACCGCCTAGCCAATGCATACACGATCGAGTTGCTACGTAAGATGCGAACGTATCCTATCGTTTTACGTTGGTCGGCTTGCCGTACTTACCAGTACGCTGCTTCTTCCGATGAAGAACGCCCTTGCGCTCAAGCATCTCGCAGAGAGCCTTGTGCTCCTGATGGTGGGCATCAACAAGGGTCTGAAGAGCAGCTATCTCATCCCGAGACTGATCAACAACCCCACGAGCTACCCTTAGCCTCGTCACGAAGAGATGTCAGAGCTCTCCGTTCTCAAGCTGAGCAAAGGCAAACTCAGCCTTCGATGCTTCAAGACAGTGTCCGCCATTTGAGACGACTGTCCCGCTCATGTTCGAGATCGTTGCGTAACCCTTGCGTTACGCGATCAAAGAAGATCTCGGGAACACACGGATCCCCACGATCGTGGAGAGCGTCTTTCCTCCCTCCTCCACCTCCATTAGAGGACTCTCGCGGCCCCCAGCGCCATCTAGTTGAGCAGCCAAGGAACCACCGTGACGTGAATCGGACGTCGGACGAGTTATCTCGTCCGGTGGCGCGGTTATGCCTCGTCCTGGGATACTGAGCCCCGCTCCCAACTGATGGTTGACGTACTGGGTCTGCTTGAGTTAGGATGACGCGGCACATCCTAAAGCCGCAGAAGGACCGCTGAGGAAAGTCTTCCCGGCACGGTCGTAAAGGGATTTTGTGCTGTCAATCCCTTCGTACATCTCAGTAGAGACACGTACGCGCCACCACGGGCTGGTAAGGAGGTAAGCCTCCTTAGGTGCTCGTGCAGAGTTGTTCACATAACATAAGTAATGAGTCTCCCAAAGATAGGCAGGGTAATCCTTTCTCCCTTGACAAACGATGCAGCTTGTAGCGTGCACCTGCCGCCTTCGCTTTTCTAACTTATCACGAGCTTTGATAAATTTGTCGTTCCAAGCATCACGACCTACATCCTCAAGGTTATGGATGTAGGCGTTCCACGCTTGAAGCAGTGAGGGACCACTACGTTTGTGATTCTAACTGTACCATCGATTTCTAAAGAAAGCATCGATGAAGAATTCATTCTCAGCGGGATAGCCTCGCACTGGGGCCAAGGTGATGGATCCCTTGATGAATCGAATAATCGTGTTCGGTAGCGATCACTTGTCGTCACCGACAAACGATCCATGACGGACTTTGAGGCAGCCATGCTTTTTTTTCGGGGAGCGAGACGTAACACATTGCGGTCCCGCCTCTTCCTGCGATGTGTCGACAGAAGTACTGGCACTTTGTTGCGAAGTGGTGTCCATAGGAGAACTGGACGCCACTATAAGCGCCCGAGTCTCGCATCCTCGAGCGCCTTCGCTTCGGCGATGATTCATCTGATGAATCAGATTAACCAAAGATGCTGCGACGTATAGCATCGTCCATGCCACGCCTGGCAGGCGGCTTGGATTCGATCGCCGTCGATACGGATCCGTCAATCCGTATCAGGAGAGTACGAGACACCGAGCTCGTACTCCGTGAAGACACGAGTGTCTTCATGACCAGCGCCTGCATCACCAAGTGACACAGGCTGGTCGCTTCAGCAACCGATAAGATATCAGTTGCCGTTGTTTCTTCTGCTTCGGCGTCCGCACAGAGACGTGCAGACTCGCCCTCGGCGGCCTTGCTCGCGCATCGCATGGGCTTGTTAACCATGCGATGAATTGTTGGAAAGTGGACTCGGACCAACAAGTGGAAACCCTGTCCCAAATGATTTGGGACGAGTATCCATCTAGTCAATCAGTCACTAAAGTGACTGATGGTTAAGGGGGTGATGTAACGGGGTGAATCGTTACATAACAATTTATAAGAAATTGCTAATAGAATATAACTATAAGAGTTATATTCTCAGAATATTATCATAAGGACAAATATTCTGTAGCACTTACGAGTAGTTCCTAATTGGTTGATATAGGCCATTATATCAACCAACGAAGACGCGCCACGACAGACGCACGCAATGAGTGGTGAGCAGATAACTGATTTACACATTTGTATTTAGACATAGTTAGATGAAGATAAATAGTGATTTATTGCAGACATTAACTATTATAAATACAGTTCTACTTTTTACTTTCAACAAGTACTCGCTTCTTCTTACCGTCTTCCTCTGCTCGTACGAGTGTACGTGAAGTTCCGAGGCATCGCCTTATTCTGTCATCAGAATAAGTAGCTTGTACTGTCACCAGTACAAGCTTCAGGGTGCCCCCACGTTACATTTTCGACCCCTGTAACACAGACTGTCTCAGATGTAGGATCAATCTCTGGGGGCCTGCCCTTTAGTTTTAAAGTATGTCAGTTCGGAGAACTGAATCAAGTTGCAATTTATGGAACAATGGCGGTCACTAAAGAAGGAGTATGATGCCGTAATGTCTGTATTTACCGAGTATAGTTGTCCAGTTCAACGTGATTGGCCTTTGCGTATGAGCATTCAACTTTGCTAATGTAATCATGTTTACCTTTAATCTAATTTGAAGCCCATCTCAAACACCCAAAAGCGCTCTTTGACCTGGTCACTATTGAATAACAATAGTGACATAGCTAAAGAGTGACTTTCGGTATACCTATACCAATGGAGGGCAGGCTGGATCGCACTCAAGAACGTGTGAGGTAAACCTAACCGTATTATTCACGCACACACAGACACACACAGATGATAATGGTATGTAAGTTCGTATTTAACCTTGGCACGGTCACTAACAGCTGTATCCTTCGGGCTTGCAACCACTCACAGGTTTGTTATTCTGCTACCTTAAGGCGTCGGTCGTCACGGGAGGGGGCACTCCCAAAAGAGCCAGTGGAACCATCCTCTGACCAAGCCCGGGATTGGATACGTGTGCACTATACCGGGTGGAGGGATGCTCTTGCGCTCAAACCAATTTATTTTAGGGTGCAGAAGACGCTTGGCTAGGAGTTCTGTTACCACTGCGGTAGTCCCAGTGGCCATCTTGACGTCACCTCGTAATTAGCTTTGTTTCTATTTAGTTCAGCTTGGGCTTACAACGTGCTCAAATGTGCCTAGACGCACCACTGATCGAAGAGTATCTGGCTCAGATCTACTGAACATGAACAATTCCTACTGGATCTAAACGGGTGTAGAGAAGCTACCCTTTCCCTTTTATTATAAAGACTTCTAGACTCGTAGAGTCTTTAGCGTATTAAAATGAACGGGTATTGCCTTAAAGGATCCCAAGTCTTACAGGCATGGTGAAACATAAGTCTAAGTGCATGTACAAGTTCTTAAGCTTCTAGTCCTGGTTCAGGCGACTACGACTGCACGGAATCACGTGGCACTAATGTTGAAACAGTTCGACTAATGATGTGACAGGGCGCGACTGTTGATGGGACAGGACGTAAGTGATGGTGAAACGACGCAACCATTGGGATGGGCAAGGTGATTTGAAGTAACCTACGCAGGAGAGATTGAAGGTAACGGACATTGAAGGTAACGGAAAGCGTAGGAAACCAAAGACATAAGCTCAAATACATTTAGTTCTCGATTTACTTCCTATCTCTAAGCCCGGTCCAACAGGTTATGAGCCCAAGCGCGAACAACTCACCTCTTCGTCAGCACGCTCAGGCACGCTATGCCGCTGAAACGGATCCAACCACTCTCAACGTGTTCACTGATCCCTTCGTGCTGCGCGAAGAGACGCCATCATCCCCGGGCACTACCGAGGCATAAGATAGCGCGAGTTGTGTCTCTGACGCGAGCTCTGAGCGAATGGATAGACTTGAGGGAGTCCTCGCAGGGATGGCGCACCAGCGAGCCCAGTTCATTATAAAGCAGCTGAAGATGCAAGATCAGATGAGTCGAAACGCTCAAGCTGCGCCTACAACACCCTACGAGCAACCATTCAACGGATCAAGCGCTTTCACCGACTTTATTCAAGCGCGTGACCGTCGAATGAGGACGGGCTCACTCGATGAGCCGATGCATCAAGCACGCATGCCGCCGCCTCACCAGCCGCCGCAACGAAATGCGCGTGCCGCCGGATCAGCCGCATCAGCAAGACGAGCGGTATCGGTCACCTGAACCGTCGCACCCTTTCGTGACACCAAATGATTATGGGTTGAAGCTACCTAAACCCAGAGACCTGGACTGGCATGGATTTTCTAAGTTCACGGGTAAAGAGACATATCCAGGTGTGGGCGCAAACTTTAAAGCATGGGGAATACGCTTCCTACAACGGCTTGGCGCAGCACAGATGATGAGCGGGGGTGATTGGCTAGAAGAGCTCAAGATTCTTGCATTGAGCGGCAAGCTGGAAGGTTCAGCTCTCAGCTACTACGAGAAGATGCTACCAGTATGGTGTGCTGTGTCGAACACACTAGAGCACGTCATGAACAGCATGTTGATGCTGTACATGACTCCGATACCATCTACGAAAGGAATTGATCTCATGACGAGAGAAAAAGAGCACAGCAAGACATGGCCTGAGCATTACCAGTACTTGGTGTACGTGGCGGAGCGATCTGGCAACTCGGAGCAGAGTGTTTTTGAATGTCTATGCAGTCAGCGCCAAGTCAGCGCCTGGACACATTAAGACTGCAATGCTGACAAGTCTGAATGCGCAGAGAACGGACTATCTAGTGCAAGCCGCTGAGCTTGTTGCAGTTGCGATAGACTTTGACATCAGCACGGGGAAGACGAGGGTCGAAGGAGGAAGCAGCCGAGTGGGACGAACAATTCGCGAGCAAGCAGTTCAATGCCCTAACAGTGTTTGAAGAGATCAAGTCGGGCGTGGAGGAAGAAATGTAGCAAGTGTTGCAAGTACCGATACACGTACGTGTTACGGATGCGGTGAGACTGGTCGCATCAAATCCAAGTGCCCCAAGCAACGAAGTGGTGAAATTGCGACTCCAAATCGAGTCGCTTTAGCTGTTGGGACTGGAACAAAAGCTGACTCTGACTCGTGGATATTGGACAGCGGGTCGAGCGTGCACCTTGTAAAAGATGCGAAAATGCTCAAGAATGCAATTGATTGTGATCAATCGTACCGCGCGGCGAACAACACAATGGTTCGAGTGACTAAGAAGGGAACAGCTGAGCTGAAGACGGCTGTCAATGGCAAGGAGGTTATAGTTGACCTAAGCGAGGTTTATTATGCTGAGAACCTCGCTGATAATATCAATAACTAATTTTAATTGGAAGAGCGTGGTGTGTTTCTCGAGTGAGACGGCAATCAGAGCTATGTGGTACGTTAAGAGGATGGTCTGAAGATATTCAAGGTGTTCCACCGCAATAACGTGTCAAAAGTTGACGTAATGGGTGAGAAAACGAAGGAAGCGCGAGTTCAAGTTGTCAACTCATCCTTGCTACTAGGTTACGATGGAATTGATGAAGCTGTATTGAGTACAACTCTTGTGGGGTTGCATCAGAGGCTTGGTCATCTTGGGTACGATACTGTCGAGCGCGTGGCCGACTCTAAAGGATCGGGCATGTACCTAACGGACCAAGCCAGGCCAAATTGTATTACTTGTGCAGAAGGCAAGCAGAGCAAAAACAACCAGTCCAAGAAGGATACAGGCAAGATCGCGTTTATTGACAAGCTTGGTGGTGTGATCGGCAGTGATATCAAGGGACCAATGACACCACTAGATCGACGTGGTAATCGTTACCTAATCAACTTCGTCGACTACTTAACAAATTATGTCCGCGTGCTCCTGGCCAAGAACAAGATTGAGGCGACAAAGAACTTCAAACTTTTTCTGCTTTATTTCGAGAAGAGATTTAATTGTCGAGTTCATGTGCTGCGAACGGACGGTGGCAAGGAGTATGTCAATGTCGACATGTTCTGCAAGTCATGTGGTGTAAGGCGCCAAGTGAGTGAGGCTTCAAATCAGGCATCGAACGGAAAGGCTGAAAGGATGCACAGGACGATATTCAACATGGCAAGATGCATGCTATTTGCGAGCGGGCTACATTTATTCTTTTACGGGGATGCCGTTGAGTACGCTGACTATGTTTTGAATTGAAGCTCGTGTAGCGCTAACCCCAAGCGCCTATCGCCGCTAGAAATGCTGACTGGAACAATTCCGAACATGACGGACATTGTAATATTTGGGAGCTCTTGCTCAACGTTCAGGGATCCTGGGAAGAAAGCATGGAAAAAGTCACGATCTCAATTTGGAATGTTTATTGGCAAGAATGATGAAAATAAGGGCTTCAAAGTCTACCTGCCGAAGGAGAAAATTGTGATCACTACTCAGCATATTCGTAACGTCTAAACGCTAAATAGCGCACAGAACGCTCAGCTACAAAAACTGATCGACAACGAATATTTCATGCTGCGGCGCGCCGAGATGGATCATGACGAAACCCCGAAACGGAAGGAGCCTGCAAATTTAAAAAAGAGCGATATGAAGGCAGACGAAAATTCGATGCCAAGTAACAACATTATCCCGAATGAAAGAGATGGAGTTGAGGTCGAGCAGTTACCAGGGGATGGACGGACGCAAGCTCGGATGCAGACACGCAACATGGGTACAAAGCACGTGCCGGTCTATATTGTTAAGCTATCACGATTAAAGACCCCCAGAACTATAACGAGGCGATGAAGGAACCTCGAGTCAAGCATTGGAAGGAGGCAATGCGCACAGAGTTTGACGCATTGAAGCAAAAACATACGTAGGAAGTGATACAAAAGCCACGTGAAGCAAAGCTACTTCATAGTAAGTGGGTTTACAAGCTCAAGATGCCCGCTGACGGCACGATCGAAAGATACAAGGCGAGGACGGTGGCGCGAGGAGATGAAAAAGTTTATGGTATCGATTATACCTACACTTTCTCGGCCGTTATGGAAATGGTTTTTGGCAAAGTGATTCTTGCAGTTTCAAGAATCTGTGGAGCACCTGCGCAACACGGCGATATGCCGAGTGCTTATGTCAAAGCCGAAAAGGAAGATGGCTTGGAGATACTTCTCCATGTTCCGAAATATATGGATATTGAGGCCAAGTTGTTGGACAAGTTCGGAGTGCAGGATAAGGGACATCTTGCACTAAAGCTAAAAAAGGGTCTGTATGGACTTAAACAGTCTGGAAGATTGTGAAATTTGATACTCTACGACATACTCATGTCCTTGGGTTTCTGTCAGTGCTATACGGACATTTGTCTATACATTTAAGATGATAGTGACGGCAAAACGATCGTTAGAATTTACGTGGATGATGTGCTGGCGACCGCAACCAGTTCTCAGAAGGTCAAAGATTTCTTAAATGACATGCAAGTGGTTGAGCTTAAGAACCTTGGGGTGGTGTCCAAATTCCTAGGTATATTGTTTCGTTACGATGACGATAATGGGTGGAAACTTAACCAAGAACCTGTTGTTGATGAGATGCTCGAGAGGTTTGGATTAGTCGAGTCGGCAGCGGTCAGGGTGCCAATCGGCGGAGACGACGAAGATGAAGAAGGTGCACTGCTACCTTCTGATGGGAAAGGTTCGCCGAAAAGACCAACTGTGCAGCCTTTCCAGTCGCTAGTCGGAAGTCGCCCCGACGTAACGTTTGTGGTGCACCGAGTGACTCGTCGCTCGCACGCTCCGAGTGAAGACGATTGGCTTCTAGCAAAGAAGATCGCAAAATTTCTCAAGGGCACCAAGAAACTGGATTTCATGATGAAGGGAGACAAGGACTTAATGAAAGATGACGGCGTGGTAGTCGAGGCATTCAGCGATGCCGACTACGCTGCAGACAAGAGTGACCGGAAGTCGGTTAGCGGTGGTGAGTTCATAGAGGGCGGCATGATTGTAGGCTGGATGTGCAAGAAACAGAAATGTGTTGCATTGTCAACGATGGAAGCCGAGTATGTGGCGGCTTCGCAAACATCGGCTGAGATGATAGGCATCGTGGAATTGCTCAAGGAGATCGGCGTGCAGATGCAGTCATGTACGACTTTACACGTGGATAACCAAGCTGCCATCGCTCAAATAAAGGGCGAAGACACATCTGGGCGAGCGAAGCACATCGACGTGCGATACAAGTTTGTAAAAGATCTTGCAAAAAAGGATTGACTGACCGTGCAGTATTGCGAGTCCAAGAAAATGCGTGCGGACATCCTGACCAAGACCCTTCCAGCACCCCGACTTAGCGAGCTAAGTGGACTGATGATCCACAGTGTTTAAGCATGTCCACACGGGAAGGAGTCTTGAAACAGTGCGACTAATGATGTGACAGGGCGCGACTGTTGATGGGACAGGACGTAAGTGATGGTGAAACGACGCAACCATTGGGATGGGCAAGGTGATTTGAAGTAACCTACGCAGGAGAGATTGAAGGTAACGGACATTGAAGGTAACAGACAGTGAAGGTAACGGACAGCATAGGTAACCGAAGACATAAGCTCAAATACATTTAGTTCTCAATTTACTTCCTATCTCTAAGCCCGCTCCAACAACTAATGTCCAAGAGTACTTAGTGTAACGGGGCACCCTGAAGCTTGTACTGATGACAGTACAAGCTACTTATTCTGATGACAGAATAAGGCGGTGCCTCGGAACTTCACGTACACTCGTACGTGCAGAGGAAGACGGTAAGAAGAAGCGAGTACTTGTTGAAAGTAAAAAGTAGAACTGTATTTATAATAGTTAATGTCTGCAATAAATCACTATTTATCTTCATCTAACTATGTCTAAATACAAATGTGTAAATCAGTTATCTGCTCACTACTCATTGCGTGCGTCTGTCGTGGCGCGTCTTCGTTGGTTGATATAATGGCCTATATCAACCAATTAGGAACTACTTGTAAGTGCTACAGAATATTTGTCCTTATGACAATATTCTGAGAATATAACTCTTATAGTTATATTCTATTAACAATTTCTTATAAATTGTTATGTAACGATTCACCCCGTTACATCACCCCCCCCTTAACCATCAGTCACTTTAGTGACTGATTGACTAGATGGATACTCGTCCCAAATCATTTGGGACAGGGTTTGCACTTGTTGGTCCGAGTCCACTTTCCAACATTTCATCGCATGGTTAACAAGCCCATGCGATGCGCGAGCAAGGCCGCCGAGAGCGCGTCCGCACGTCTCTGTGCGGACGCCGAAGCAGAAACCACAGCAACTGATGTCTCATCGGTTGCTGAAGCGACTCAGCCTGTGTCACTTGGTGATACAGGCGCTGGTCATGAAGACACTCGTGTCTTCACAGAGTACGAGCTCGGTGTCTCGTACTCTCCTGATACGGATGACGGATCCGTATCGACGGCGATCGAATCCAAGCCGCCTGCCAGGCGTGGCATGGACGATGCTATGCGTCGCAGCATCTTTGGTTAATCTGATTCATCAGATGAATCATCGCCGAAGCGAAGGCGCTCGAGGATGCGAGACTCGGGCGCTTATAGTGGCGTCGATTCTCCTATGGACACCACTTCGCAACAAAGTGCCAGTACTTCTGTCGACACATCGCAGGAAGAGCGGGACCGCAATGTGTTGCGTCTCGCTCCCGAAAAAAAAGCATGGCTGCCTCCAAAGTCCGTCATGGATCGTTTGTCGGCGACGACGAGTGATCATTATCGAACACGGTTGTTCGATTCGTCAAGGATCCATCACCTTGACCCCAGCGCGAAAGACTATCGCGCTGAGAATGAATTCTTCATCGATGCTTTCTTCAAACATCGATGGTACGGGTGGGAATCACAAACGTGATGGTCTCTCACGTTGTTTCAAGGACCAGATGGAACGCCTAAGCATCCATAACCTTGAGGATGTAGGTCGTGATGCTTGGAACGACAAATTTATCAAAGCTCGTGATAAGTTAGGAAAAGCGAACCTCGGCGGTGTACGCTACAAGCTGCATCGTTTGTCAAGGGAGAAAGGATTACCCTTGCCTCTCTTGGGGAGACTGCGCCCATGTTGTGTGAAC